CTCTGCTGGTCTCCTTGTGGAGCTCCTGTCTCCTGCAGGTCTTTCTATCTCCCCCTTTTCTATAAGATCCCCTGTACTCTGCCCAAAGTTTGACTATGAGTCTCAGAATCTGCTTCAATACCCTACTGGGTAGAGTCTTTCAGAGGTCCTCTGTGGTAGGCTTTTGTCCTGTTCCTTCTATTCCACTCCTTCTGATGTCTATACTCTTTGACCTTCTGAATGATGATTAAGCATCTTTCCTAGGGTCCTCCTTGTTGTTTAGCTTCTTTAGGACTACAGATTTTAGTATGTTTATCCTATATTATATAGGATAATATATAAGCCACTCATATAAGTGGCTAATGTCCACTTACGAGTGAGTATATACCCTGTGTGTCTTTCTGCTTCTGGGTTACCTCACTCAGGATGATCTTTTCTAGTTCCCATCATTTGCCTGCGAATTTCATGATTTCCTTGTTTTTAATTGCTGAGTAGTATTCTATTGTGTAAATGTACCACAGTTTCTGTATCTATTCCTCCAATGATTTTCTTCCTTAATGTCCCCCATATACACACACTTGTACAATAATACTGTCAGAAATTACTTCCAGTCAAATATGACCCTTATGATTCTGGAGAGTACTTATGACATCATTTGTCACCTTGTCAATGGCCTCTTTCCACAAACACATTACAGATAAAAAGACTCCAACATGTATTTCAGTGTATCAACCATCGTGTAAGAGCACTAGTCCTAATGAAATAAAATTCATAGAGGAAAGGGTAAAATCAAATACCAAGGAATTTACTTTCAATGATTTCTTTTGGGGGCTTTTTTATCATGACATATATGGGAGTATGTAACTAAGATTATTATTAGTTTTTTTTAAAGAAACCATAGATATGTAGAAATTTGAAAATATTCCAAGATAATAAAAAATACTATTGATATTTTTGGTAACTTGTACTATTTGAATTGTTTACGAGGACCTATAATTTTTGAAGAGACTATTTTTTGAGACTATTTGAGGTGATTAAAAAAAAAGCATTAGCCTAGAGGGGACAGGAGCGTCACAAGGAGAGAAAAAATATCTGGGCGCAGGGATTTTTCTGAGATGATACTTCAACCAAGGACCATTCATGGAGATAACCTAGAACCCCTGCACACATGTAGCCCACGGCAGGTCGGTCTTCAAGTGGGTCCCCTAGTAATGGGAACAGGGACTGTCTCTGACATAAACTCAGTGGCTGGCTCTTTGATCACCCCTCCACCAAATGGGGGAGCAGCCTTACCAGGCCACAGAGGAGGACAATGCAGCTAGTCCTGATGAGACCTGATAGGCTAGGGTCAGATGAAAGGGGAGGAGTACCTCACCTATCAGTTAACTGGGTGAGGGGCATAGGTGGAGGAGAGAGAGGGAGGGTGGGATTGGGTGGGGGTGAGGGAGGGGGCTACAGCTGGATACAAAGTGAATAAACTGTAATATAAAAAATAAATTTTAAAAAAGTTTTAAAAAAGCATTGACTTATTATAAAGAAATAGAAAACACTAAGATTCATGAAATGGATTATAAAGTTAATGCAAAACATGCTTCTTGCTTAGTTTAGCTGCCCTTACCTAGAAGGTATGTGAGTTTCTAGCAGGTCCCAAAGGGAAGCAAAACCAAGTACAATTGTAGTAAGTTGGCTCTCAGGATGTGGCCCAGTGACCTCCTAATAATTACAGCTGTGAATCAACCTCTTCCTTTTTTTAACTGATTTAATGCCTTTATTTCTTTTATTATTATTATTATTATTATTATTATTATTATTAATTCACTTTGTACCCAGCTGTAGGCCCCTCCCCCACCCCTTCCCAATCCCACTTTCCCTCCTTCTTCTTCTCCTCTGCCCCTCCCCGAGTCCAGTGATAGGGCAGGTCCTCCTCCCCTTCCATCTGACCCTAGTCTATTAGGTCTACATGTTACATTTATTCAAAGACTTCTAACAAATGGGTATTACAGAAGTGATGCTAGGATAGAAAATTGTGGCTTCTGTCTCCAGTATTCTTGATTTTATTGTTCATCCTGGGGCAAAGTTAAGTGTTTAGTCAAAAGGTCACCCTGTGCAGAATTCACACATGGCAAGGGACCAGGGTCTGTCAACAAGTGACTGAACTTAGAATCTGAAGTGCCCATCTCAAATTGAGCTTTCCCAGTAGGTTAGCTTCACTATTACCTTATCAAAGAACTCTAGCTAAGCTCTACTGAGATGGTGACTCCCCGAAACCTATAATAATAAGTACTTGCTATTTTAAACTGATAGGTACTGGGATGTTCTGTTATAAAGTCATAGATAATACAGTTTTACTCATACATGATATTGTATTAGATTTCAAGTCAACTGTACAGTTCTGAATTATTCTACCAGAAAGCCTACTAGCTTTCATAAGCTACACTATATAAATACAGCAATTAACATTGCTTGAAGGTGCATGCATTATTATTATTTTTTTTTACATGTCTTACAGTCTAAATTCAGGATGCTTTCAAACAATCATTTTTAAATCGGATTGGTATGACTCCTTGGAAACTTTATAGACTAAAATTTCTGTACATGTTATCTAGTACTAGTTCTCTGCAGAAAGCCAAAAGCACTAGGAGTTCATTTGTCAATTCTTTTATCCACTTCTTTCTGTCCATTAGCTGATTTTACACACATCAAGTTCTGTTAGAGGGCAAAACCTACCATATTTCTCCACTCAAAAAACAAAATGTAAAAAGCAAAACCTAGGGGTGTACTTTAAATCTGCATAGCAGTCCAGATTAGATCATACCATTATTCTCAAGACATGTACCTCTTTATTGTGAAGGCAATGTGAAAAACTATGACATACTCATGAGATTGAAACTATGGTTCAATAACTATTAAAGAGAATATGACAGAAAGCTGAATACTACAGAATTCAGAATTCCAAAGTAAAAACCACAAATAAGACCCAAGGAAGAAATTAAAAAAAAAAAAAAAAGAATATGTATCTACGCAAGATAACTTAAGCTTCTGGCACACAGCTAAAGATTTAGAGTACATTATTTCACTAGTCATAAAGGAATCTGAAAACCCCAAATGTGTTCAATTCTGTGTGTTAATGTAGGGACATAAAGGCACTGTTGGACTGTCTTTGTCCTTAAGAACACTATTAAAAGATGTCAGTAAAATTACATGAGGAACAATTAGAGAAACCAGAAAGCAGACTGTGGTACATTGAAAATAATTTAAGTAGGTCCTGGTAACAAGACAATGTGAATACTGATAAAACTGCCTATACAGGCAGAACTTTATAAGCTGGATTTAAAAATATATTTAATTACTCAGTTTGCACTGATAAATGAAACCTAAAGCAGGCCACTGTTTTGGACTCAGCCCTTCTTTGTTCTAGGTATCAAAAGGTGAAACCAAAACAGAATGGAGTCACTCATATTAAAGTATAATTTCAAATATGGACAATTAGAATTATGTGAGTAGTGTGTGTATGTGTGTGTGTGTGTGTGTATGTGTGTGTGCGTGTGTGTGTGTGTACTTATAGAGAAAAATAGAGAGCTCTAAATCTCCCAGAGCTGGAGTTATTGGTGGTTGTAAGCTGATTGACGAGGGTCCTAGTAATCAAACTCTGGTCCTCTTTAAGAGCAGTATGTGCACTTAACCACTAAGACAATGCTTCAGCCCTTCATTTAAAATTTTTACTTATTTGTTTAATTATTTTGTTTTTTATTTAGTGTGTCTACAGTGCCTGCAGAGGCCTGGAAATGGCACTGGATCCCCTGGAACAGGAACTAAAGTTGTTTGTTAGCTGCCTGACTTGGGTGCTGGGAACCAACTCCAGTCCTCTGCAGGAGTACCACACACTCTTAAAGTAATTTATTACACACACACACACACACACACACACACACACACACACACACACACCTGAGCTCCAAAGAACTGACACACAAGAAGCAATAAGGAAGAAGAGATTGATGCTCATTTAGGAAAAATGAAACTATAAAGCCATTGATAGGATTAAATTTGGGCGATTGTAGAAATAAGATGTCAGGCAACAAACCATGTCTGTGACAGGTGTTTGGAATCAAAACCCTCCATAGTCTTGGTGTCAAACAATGATTGGCAATAGTAGTGGAGGCACATGCCAGTAGAAATTTCTAAAAAAAGCAATGATTACAGATAATGTATCATATTGTACCTACGGTTAAAAAGTCATTTAAAACAGACGTTAGCAACTCATACTGTAATACAGACTATGACACTGGGACATTGAATTGTTCTTTAGACTGTGTATGCTCAATCTAATGCAGACAAAAAAGGAAAGAGGGAAGAGTATGTGTTCCTAGAAATAACAAAAGATATAACAGACACTCCACTTCGTTTTAAGATGAAATCAAGAGTTAAAAACTGTGTAAGTCTTTGTATTTCTTTAACATGGATTTCTTTTTTTTTAATTTTATTTTTCTTTTTAGTTACATTTTGTTAACTCTGTGTCCCAGCTGTATCCCGCTCCCTCATTCCCTCCCCAACCCCGCACTCCCTCCCTGGTCTCCTCCCTGCCCCTTTCCAAGTCCACTGATAGGGGAGGACCTCCTCCCCTTTCATTTGACCCTGTTTTATCAGGTATCTTCAGGGCTGGCTGCAAAGTCTTCCTCTGTGGCCTAACAGACTGCTCCTCCCCGGGGGGGGGGGTGTCAAACAGCCTGCCCTTGAGATCCTGTTAGAAATAGTCCGTGTTCCCCTTACTTTGGAAAACTACTTGGTTAACATGGATTTCAGAGGCATGAAGTACTATGAAGACTCCAACTCTGAAGCCAACAGTCTATCTTGTTTATGATGAGCTATTCAAGTTTCGGAAATATTTCTTATAAAAACCCAATAGTCTAACATTTTGGTCATGTGGGAATAATGTAGACAGCTGTACTGTACAGGGTGGGACTTTTCAATACATGTGTTCAAAGATTGTCATCACAATCAAAGAAGGGAACCACAGCACAGCCATTTGTAATTGCTCTATTTATTAATACATATATCACAAATGATCACAATATCAATGCATTCTTGTTGGCATGCTAGACAGAGGCATTATTTTTAATATCTTTTAAAAATATTTTGACTTTTATTTCCCTTCCCACACTCACTTTCAAATTTATCTGATGAGGTCCTCAAAGTCTATAATGTCAATGCAAAGAAAAAATATAGAAATAAAAAGTAAAATAAAAGTAATTAGTTGGAGCAAATCAAAAGGAGTATCTTTGCCTTCAAGGGGAGTAACAACGCAGCCTTATAACAGGATTATGCAGGTTTCATCTGAGAAGAAATCCTACACCAAGCTGTCTTTCCACACCCATGTATAGAAAAATGAGCAAGGAGGCCAGCTAATGCTAATAACACTTTCCACCATGCATGCCACATGCTGTTTCCTCCTCATGAATGACTCCCTCTGTGTCTCTTCACATGCCTAAAGAAGGTAGGAAACAATCCCAGTAAAGGGGAAACCAAACCAAATCAGATTAAGCCAAAATAAAAGATAACTACCATCTGCTTATCTACGGAAAGGTGTGTGGCAATCATGGACCACAGTGAGGGGCTGATTGAAGCCTCCCCTACTACATGCAGGGCCACAAGCGGCCAGTGATGATGTGATAACCAGTCACCTACAGTTGGACCAAGTACATGTGAGAGAGCTGGCACTCACACTTAGGATGGGGTTCACTATGACTAGCTGCAGGGGGCCTGACTATACTGTGTGGCACAACAGGGGTTCACAAGATGGACACTACACATGACATGGGCTGAAAGGTAGAGCATAGACTGGGTAGGAGTGTCAGTTGCACACAGGGGGTGGGGTTGTGGGGAGTGGGTGGTGGGAGCAGGGCAGGGAGATTATGTACTGTGCTCTAACATTCTTTGGAAGTCTTTCAGAGATTGCGGCGGTTCCTTTTAAAAAACAGGCCTTTTATTCCATAGTCCTTGAAAGACTGAGAGAGAAAGAAAGAGAAAACATGTGAGTGATTTGCCATTGCTAACAGCCTGCATAAAAGGTGCAAGGTAAAGAGCAAGTGTTATCATGTTTTCACAGTGGCATCCACTCTACCTACTCCCCAGCAAATGGATATGAGGTTTCTACACATAGAAAGCACCACGTAGTTTAGTGGCTGGGCACTCTTCCTGCCCACTCCAAGGGTTATATGCGCACCAAAGGGAAAAATCCCTAGACCCAATACTACCCACTGCCACTTACCTTCTCTTTACACCATCTCATACTGATTGGCAGTGATGAACCGGGACAGACAGCAAGCCAGCAGCATGCCAATCAACTGTTCAAGGAGAATAAGTGAAAAGGGAGAATCTCGTGTCACAAAGCTATACTCTTCTTTCGACTCTAGATGTATTTTAAATTAAGTTTTAATACATAATAATTGCACCTATCTATCTGTCTGTCTATCAATACAAAGAGTTGTCATGATACACGTATATACCTACATAATGACTTTCAGTAAGCAGAGGTTTATTTAAGTGGAAAGGGCACAGGTCAGGAGCAAAGAACAAATCAGATTTGAATTATAGGATCAAAGCTTGAGGTAGTCTAAGTACTGGTGTGGGACCAGTGGGAAGTTCTGAAACTGGCCATAGCATCCAGAAGTAGCTCACTCTGGCCACTTCGGAACAACTCTGGATACCAACTCATAGGAAAATAGGATTGTGTTATGAGACTAATGCAAAAAAACAATTAAATGACAGGGGATTGGTGTTAACTGAAAGGATATATTTTTAATTTAAAGCCATAATCCTTGAATTATTTGGAAGGCTAAATATATTTGGCAGACTTCTCAACACAGTATGATACTCTGGTTATACCTGGCTGACAGAATAGTGGTTCTTTCCTTGAATCAAGAATAGAGATATCATTCTTGACTGTGTCCATTGCTAGTGGCCTAAACAGGCCCACATACATTCACGATCCACTTCCTAGCCTTTTAGGAGCCACACAAAAACCATTCACAGAGGCCTCATCTCTTCCAGAGAGCATTGTGGTTAATACTTTTCTTTGTGCCTTGGATTAGCCTATGGCACAGGTGAATCTGACAAGAAATGATTCTGGCGGTACAAGACACCCTTAGTCACGCTTTTCTTTGTTCACTAGTAACTAGAGGATCAGCATTCTTTGGAGAAGTGCTCAATGGTAAACTTGAGCCCAGAGGCCATATTCCTTTGGCTAATAATGCCTTCACTTTAAGAAACTGGCTATGTTTTGTCATTTCATAGGTAACATGGACCTCTAAAGATAGTCTGGTGCAGGACAACAGTACCAGCATCACCTGTGACATAAAAATATCAGAAATGCATGGTTTCAGGTCCTACCACCCATCTGTGAGCCAGATACACTGAGGAACAATTCAGCAAGTGGTATTTCCATAAGCCACCCAGAGGGAAGAATGACCTTTCCAGTCCATTTCATCCACCTTATGTGACAGATGAAATACTTGTGGCCATTCCTGTGTGCTCTGTTGCTCAGTAACTCATGAGCTTTATTCACCTGGCTCTTAACACACCTTGCAGGTACCAGTTCCCCGTTCTTATCTTTTTAGAAATGTAAACTATCCCATGAAATACGTAAATAATAACCCCTGTCAGGTACTCGTTACCGCCTCAGAACCCATTAAAGTTGTGGCCTACACCATCCCATGCCACCAAATACATAGTATCATGCACTTACTGTGGAGTGTCCAAAGGTATCATGGCTGTAACTTTCAGATTATGTTGCCAAATTAGAACCTAAATTCCTCCAGAACTGCAAGAACTTGGAAACTTACAGTATGTCCCTTTCTAAAAGACTGATATTTTTCAAGATCAGCAAATCTTAGAATATATTTCACACTGTAAAAAATTATATTCCAGTCAAAAAAATAAATAAGTAACAAATGTAAAAAACAAATTTGGACATACTAAAATATTGATTTTTTTTTTTTACTAAAACTCTTTGTAATATTTTAATTTCAACTTTCCAGATGAGAAAATGGGTTTGAAAGGTTCAGCTGTCTTCCCCAAACTATACAGGTAATCTTCACAAAGATTTGTGTTGCACCCAACTTCAGATCTGATTACAGCCCAAACTTTTTCTGCCCCATATACAGAAAAGAGAAACAGGCCCCTTTAAGACTCTACTAAAAAATTACTGGCACAGAATAAATTATCCCATCAGATTATGGGCCCTAAGGAAAAATGTGAGAGGTCAGGAGTGAAAATGGTAGGAATGGGTTCAGTATTTTTTGGTAAATATCTTTTGCCTTTGAATTAAGAGACTTAATCTCTTTCCTAATAAAAAAGAGAAAGAGGGATAGGGAGAGAGGGAGGAGAGATGGAAAGAGAGAGAAGAATTCACATATAGCTCATTTCCCTTGCTCTTTTCCACCTATTCCCCCACCTTGTTTCCTCTTCTCTTCTGGCCCAAGCTCCCTTCTTGAAGATGGTAACTATCAAAATCATAGGGAAAGACAGGTATAGTGGCTCATACATATAACCTCAGCATTACAAAGACCTGGCCCTGGTAGGGGGGATGACTTGGATTGAGTTTAACCTGGGTTATATAGTGAGTTCCAGGAGAGTCTGGGATAAACAATGAGACTCTTTTCCCATCAAAAAGAAAAGAAACATGCCATCCAATCACACTCAACTTCCTACCTGTAAATTCATAGGGTAGGCCAGATGTGCTCATCAAGCTCAGCCAAATGTGCTTTTCCTTGAGAGGACAAAGTCAAGAGGACCTCTGGGCAGTGCCAGATCAAACTATGCCATCCAAACAAGAGCTCTAAGCCAAGTTGACTAACAAGGGACATGGTGCTTAAAAGTCAATTAAAAAATGGACTTAATATAGTTTTTCTTGTACCCTTATACCACCTTTACAATCTGACATAATAGGTGTGCATTATGCCAGTTTCTCACAATAGCATGTGGGGAAAAGGTAAAAAGATATTGAGTAAATTAAGAAAAGTAAAAAAAAGAAAGGAACACCAAGAGAGAGGAAAAGAAGAGAGAAAAGCAGGGAGTAAGTACGGATCTTTCCCATATATATTGGCCTCTAGTCAATACAACCTGCTACATAGGAGAGCCAAGACATAACAATTATATTCATATCAACCAGCATTCATGAGGTTTGCCTCTACAATATCTGAATGAATTTTGTAAAGCTTGGCCTCTGGGATATTGACTAGGCTCCATTGGGGTGACTCTTATTGAGAGGCATCTTGTAAGTGGTTAGCTACTTTTGCCCCAGGAAGGCTCTGGAACTACTGGTATCTGGAATGCACCCCTCATCTTTCTGGAATTTGGAGGTTGACAGAGAAGACATACATAAATAACTACAGTTCCTAGTACCTCTAGCCAGGAAGACCAGTAATGACCACTCACTCACTCACCTTCCTGCCACCTGGAAAGAGCCAGCCATGATCATTCCTTCTCCCAGCCAAAAGCTGAGTACTGCATGTGTCAAGTCTTTGTTCTGTTTTGCCATGTGAGTGAATGGTAGGGTGATGCAGAATATTTGATCCCATTGTGAACCCCATTGTGAACTGTAAAACCCTGTTTATTGTTTGCTTTGGTTCAGGCCTAACACAGACCTTTAATCCAAGAGCTTTCTGTACACAGGATTTAATAAAGCTAACCCTAGGTCAAGAGGCAGAGCAAGTAACCAGATGGCAGGGATTAAGTAGAAAGGAGGGGCGTTGAGTTGAAGGGTATTTAAGACAGTGTGGAGAAGGAGTAAGAGCTCTTTAGCTCTGTGGCTTTTGGGTTTTTCATTCTGGGCTTTCAGGTGAGCTAGCAAGCCTTTTCCTCCTGGGCTGCAAGCTGAGCAAGCAAGCTTTTGGCCTTGGGCTTTCTGGGTTTTGGCTTTGAACTTTTGGCTTTTTCCTTCTGGGACATGAGCTGAGTAGGAAGGTCAACTGGGTGCTTTCTCTTCGTCTTGGAGCTAGCAAGTGTTCACCCTGGAATATAGCTCCCAAATCTTTATTGATAAAATGAAATGGTAGGGATTTTCACTCATTATAACAACAGTAGGGCATGCACAATGGTAGCTGGCTTTGTAGTTTATCTTTTTATCCCACCATCTATGTGGCTTTCTTGCAAGACCTAAACTTGTCATAGTGTTTCTGTTTTCCTGTTCCTCTGAGTCAAAGCTTCTCTTTCATTGTTCTTGTGAGCCACAAAGAATTTTCAACCATTCCTAAGCCACAGATTTCTTTAAGACAGTGCAGGCAGAACAATGATCACCAGGCAGGTTAGCTATTTGTCTAAGCATAAATTGCTTTACAGGGATGGTTAAGAGAGGTACAGACAACACTTGATACATCTCACTGATGAAAACAAGATCTTCCTACCCTTTCGCATACATACCCATGATTACATAGCTATATTCTTAGATAAGCTTCCTCTATAATATCTCAAGCTCACTGAGGCATTCTTCTCCTCATGTACTGCATGGGCACTAAGCCACTTTATTTCTTAGGGAAGCCATGAAGGAAGACTTTAGAGATGTGAGTGTGTGCGTGTGCACATGCATGTGTGCGTACGTGCATGCATGCATGTATGCCTGTGTGTGTGCGTGTGTGTGTGTGTGTGTGCTCAAGTGCTAACCATACTTCTAGATTTCTGTTTTCCATAACCTGTGTTGAGGAAAATATATGCTCAAAGCAGTCAAATGTACATTTTCATGAGTCACAAGGTTTGGGATCCTTGAAATCATCCCTAGGCCATTACAGAGATGTTACTAAGGGTTATTACTGAAATGTTACAGCAATTGGGAGAAAGTTCAGGGCCGTAACTGCCTTTAAAATGTCTCCGGAGACTGAGTTAATTGTGCTGTTTGTAAGCCCACTCTAGCTTGTCTCTGTTGGCATGTTGGGGGTCTAATTCACTCTATGAGGGTTAAAACAATGAAGCATGTTTAAGGAGGATTTTGAAATTGCAACACAAATTACATATACAGCGACTGACTTCACATGTTCTTGGGAGATGACATGTCACACAGGTTTTGACAACTACTCAGGAAGAAAGGCATTTCACCTTCTCTAACACTAAGACCTGCTCAGCAGAGACATATATCAAGATAAGAATCTATTCCCTGATATAAGCAAGGGCCATGCAAGTGATAACTTATTAAACTATAAAGTTATAATTTAGGTACTTTTCTTTGAAATTCGTATTTCAATAAAAAATATCTCAGGAACAAGTTGGAACAAAGAAAAACTGCATTTGCAATGCTGAGCAGAACAAGAGCTATGGAGGGAAAGTTAGACATTGCAATAGCTTCTATAGAAAATGAACTATGGAGCCATTACTGAGATATCAACTGAGCTTTCTATGAAAAATGATCTATTAGCCTGAAAAAAAAAAAACTGAGTTAAACATAAAATTTTATTAAACTGCTAAGTATATATGTCAGTCCTTGTACCCATAGAATATTATACCAAGGATATACCATTTGCTCCAAAGATCAGAAGTGCGAAACAGGACCTTACTAGCTAGAGAAGGGCTCAATTTGAGATATAACTTAAATGTGTTCTATCCTTCAGTATGTTTAGCTTACTGAATTGGCACTTAATTGGCATAATTATATCTTCCAATGCTTTGTAAAAAAATGGAGATAGATAGTTTAATATACAAAGACTTAAGTATCCACTTCATTAAAAGAATAGTCAAATCCAAAGAACTAAATAATCTTCACAAGATGAAGACTGCTAATGTCATGCATAATCCAAAGGAACTAAGAAAGAACAAAAAGGACAGGTCAGCAAGGAAAAGAGCTTTCCTCTAATCTAGACCAACCAAGTTGATGTTTGGAGTTGTTTAAGTTCCAATAAAGCCAACACCTTGTTCTGTTACCCTCCATTTGACCTATGAAGAAGCAAGTTGTTTTACTGGAGGTAATCATTATTTGAACTGTAACCGATATTCCCTTGACAGCAAAACTTCATTTAAGTTGAAAAAGAAAAATCAATAAACAGATGACCTAAGCCCTAACATGCAAGGATCTCTGACCCCAACTAGCAGCCCTCTCCAGAAACAGTCTGAGAATCTAGAGGACAGAATGGTAAACCAGAGTAGGAGGCTGAGAAAAGCTAGACTAGGCATAATTATTTGAGTACCTGGGAGAATGCGATTCCAAATGCCACTCCAGCGATGATCCCCATGTTAGTCTCCATGAAACTGGTCACCAGATCGTAACAGCCCTAAAAAGAGAATATAGTAGTCAAATCCACCAACCAACCAACCAACCATCCATCCAAAGAATTCAAACATACACAGGTATAGAAAATAGTACAATGAATCCACATAGTACATTTCCTCTAATACTATTGTGTGTGTATGTGTGTGTATGTGTTTAATCTTGTTTCACTGACACCTCTCCAACACATATTCCCTGGCAAACTCAAGATATAGATTCACCTACAAACATGCCATTAGTAGGATTAAATTCACCAAATAAATTTAAAAGTTCTATGAAATAAATCCTATAAAAGGACACATGCAATGATCAAAAGATATTCCAAAACTCTGAACTGAACATTTCATGGACATAGCCATTAGGCTAGTCATTGTGGTACATGCCTATTAATTAATCCCAGCGTTTGGGAGGCAGAGGCTGGTGGATTTTGGTGAGTTTGATACCAACTTGGTTGATCTTAGAGCCTGTGTTGTTGGTATTCTGTTCAGGAAGTTGTCTCTTGTGCCAATGAGTTCTAGGCTCTTCCCCACTTTTTCGTCTAACAGGTTTCGTGTATCTGGTTTTATGTTGAGGTCTTTGATCCACTTGGATTTTAGTTCTGTGCAGGGTGATAACTATGGGTCTATTTGCATCTTCTACATGTAGATATAATAGACCAGCACCATTTGTTGAAGATGCTGTCTTTTTCCATTGTATGGTTTTGGCTTTTTTTTTTTTTTTTTTTTTTTTTTTTTTTTTTTTTTTTTTTTTTTTTTTTTTTTTTTGGTCAAAAATCAAGTATCCGCCTTCCCTGAATTTATTTTCTCTATTTTCTGCCCTAAAGCCTACTTTCCAAATTTCAGCACAGCCCTGCAGATATAAGAATTGCTTTGATACTACAACTATGGGTCATGTTTGCATTTACTTTTAAGTTCTGCACTAAAACACAATCTTGTCTACTCAAAACTATCTTTCTCAATTGCCTAATATGACAACCTGTTGTAGAGCATGAGATAAATCTAGAGACCCAATTCTCACCTCCTCCTACCTGATTTCCACTCAGAATCTGTATAATTTAGGTTCCCCAAGTTACCAAATAAAAGTGAAACTTCATCCCTCTGTATTTTCAGAGGGTAGGATTCAAAACACCAAATGACCAAAATAATGTTTAGGTGTGTGCCTGCATGTGAGTATTCGTATGTGCGAATGCCTGTGGAATCCAGAAAAGAATGTCATATTACCTGGAACTGAAATTATAGGCAGTTATGAACCAGCCCACCTCAGTACTGGAACTGAATTCCTGCCCCGTGCCAAAGCAACAAGCTCTCTTAACCTCTGAGCACTCTCTGTGGCCCCAAACTTTCTTTAGATGCTAACAGAAGCATCTATAAGGATCTGCTGCATCATTGCTAGGAAAACTGTGATAAAGTAAAAATAATTTCAACATTGCTGAGGTCATGTCTTTATCACAGTTAATACATACAGTGTCCGCAGTCTGTGCCCAACACTATGCTTTAGACTATTTGTTTCATTCATTCTTCATAGTAACTCTAAAGAACAAGAACTATTATCTACATTTTACAGATGGGAAAAACAAACCCAAGAATAGTCCTACAACCTTTACCACGATCCCACAATCAGGAAGTGCTTGATTCAGAATTTAAATGACTCTGGCCTTTGAATTCTGGGTCCTTAATTTTCACAAAAGAGAAGGTTTACGTAAAAAAAGAAGTTATCAGAATTTGATGGGTGTTGCTTTTAAAAGTCACATGAACCAAAACACTCACTCCCATAGATCACTTCCTGTTATCTATAAATCAGAGTCTCTCATGTGCTGGGTATACACACACATTTTATAAAATTACAGCAAAATGATACAAGTGGCTGGATACTTAGTGGAGATTACCCATACAAATGCCAGGTGTAGTCTTATGAGAGGCAAAGGAAGCCTTAGAGTTTGAGTTCATAAGAAAATTCCAATAGGAATCAATGTTCTTGAACCTGAGATAGTACTTAGTCTTCCCTAATCCTACTAACAGCAAAGTAAAAATTTCAGAATGACAAAATGAGCTTCCAGGACAGCAACAATGCCTTGCAGCATTCCTGTTATAGATCCCAATATAAAGTGGGTAAAATACAGAAATGACCTCATAATATTCCAATCTTGAGAGAATGGCTATCATCTCTCTATGAATTATTCAGTAGGTGGCCCAGAAAACAGAACTGTGAAGATATTAGAAGAATACAATGTTGTCTTGGTAAGAGAAGAAAATCTGTCCCATGGCTGAAGAATTATGGACAAACTCAATAGTAATTCTGCTTCTTTGTTTCTCAAATCATAGTTTACATAGGGTATGTCTTTAAAAGTTTAAGAATGTTGATAGTATCCACACACAGCTATAACTTGTCTTCATTGTATTCTCTGCGAAGTATAATACAGGACTGACCTCCCTTCTCTCTGACTACCAGAAGTTCATTCTCCTTCTTGCACTATGAATGGATGTCTATATCTCTTTCCACCATCCTTTTTTTTTTCTCAGCTTCTTTGAGAATCAGGATGTTGACAGTCAGTTGAATAGGAGTTGTTCATTTCTTTTCCTACAACAGTGAACTCCCTAAATTAAGGCCGCCCTCTTAGCAGAAGCAGATGCTGTCTGTCAACTCTACTCGCTTCTTCCTGCCAAAGACTGGCATCCAGCTGTGAATAATTTCATGTTTTGATAGTATATTAAGTAGAAGAAAGGCGCCAAGAAAGAAAAAAGAAAACACTCCCTGTCTGACACAGGCATCGAGGTTAACAGGAACCATTTGCTAATCCTACATAGCTGTGCCTGTTGGAGGCTTGCTGTGGGAAAGCCATATGAGACCAATTGGAGGCACAGTTTCCTCTTTGAGAAGTGAGCAGCCTCAAGCCCTTCTCCTAGGTGAGCAATCACCACAAAGGAAGAAGCTCAACTCCCTCCGAAACTACCCTTTCTAGCCTATTTTTCTTAATTCCACAAAAGTAATAAAGCCCTCCTGAACTAGTACCACCTGTCTGTTCCATTAGGGCTGGGAGGAAGCAGTACCTTTTGGTTAACTTTGGTGGCGGCCACAGTCAGATTGTGCAGATCCAGGGGGTTACAATCAGTTTCATTCATACAGCAACTGGGGGGGATGCCGTGTTCCACGAAGTAGGGGCTGCTGCTCCAGTTGGTGTAGTTCTGCACACCGCAGCAACTCAGCTGTTAACAAGAAAAACAAATTCAAGAGAGGTTGAACAAATGCAGTGGCTTTCTCACCCCAGCCCTGAAACTTCCCTAAGAAAAACATCAAGCAGCACCGTGGTGGCGCATGCCTGTAATCCCAGCACTCAAAAGGCATAGGCAGGAGGATCTCTGTGAATTCAAGGACAGCCTGGTCTACAGAGCTATTTTCAGGACAGGCAGAACTACAGAGAGAAACCTTGTCCTCTGAAAAAGAAAAAACAAACCAAACCAACCAACCAAACAAACAAACAAAAAAAGAGCAAAACATCAGCCAGGCTCTCAATATAGTATTCTTTAGTGTGGAAAAATGATCTCAAGGTCAATCATCCTTGGTGCCCATTTGAACTCAGAGAAAGAAGTTGAGTCCACATCATGCTGTCTTTCTTACTAACTCCACAAGTGGAGTAGTGTGTCTCTGACCTTGCTAAACATCAGAATCATATAAGAGGGCTATCAAACATGCAGATGCATACATTAATTACACCCAGAGTACTGATAGGCAAGTGATGGTTTCTAAAAGGTCTTCACGGCATCTACAATAATAAGTGGATAAATTGCTTAGAGGAAATGTTTTCTGTATATGGGATAGAAAGCTGGTGTTGGTAGCCTACTACCTGCCTGTTTTTTTAAAGGTGTTTTAAGAACTGCTCATGTCATTTGCTTATGTATTGCCCATTGCCCATAGCTCCTTTTGTGCTATGGTGGTACAGATGGTTGTAACACAGAGTATAAGGCCTTTCCCATGGCCTAAAATATTTTTTCCCATTTATAAAAGGTTTTCTGATATCTCATGTAGAGAATATGAAAGCAAATGACACAAAAATGTTACTAATGGTAAACCTGAGTATATAGTTCCTTATAGTTTTAACTTTCTAAAAGGCTGAAATATCATCAAAATAAAATTGAAAATTTTACTGTTTTAATTTTTCGACGTTTAAATATAATCTCATCATCTTTGCATGCCATACCTGACAGGTCCTCAGTTTCCTTTTGGTTCATTCTCTATACTTACTACCCTGCCCCAGGTAGATACTGCTTGCCTGACTTCTCTGTCTAGCCTGGGGACACCAATTCCAGAGAGTCAGCCTTCAGGAATCAGCTGGAGGCTAGATTGACCCCCACCCACCACCTAGCTCTTTTCCAATGGTTCTCCTTTTAGTAACAAATGGGGTGTCTTTAACATGTTCAGCACTCTCAATAATCCAAGACACATTGGGGAGAATGTATCTTCTTGATGCTAACTTCCTAGAAAACCAAAGCCTGGACAAATGCTTGGAACCAAACTTTGAAAACAGAACTGGACCAAGAGTTTGAGAATGAGAATCAACAATATATGCAACTGGTCTAACCCACCAACCTACCATGCCTAGAGGGCTAAACCCAGAACTGTGTATGCAGGCTCCATTCTCATCTCTTTCCCTGAAACTTACGCTGCGCTGCACATGGTCCACTGCCCGGCTCCTCTCATCATTGCCGTTGTAGTTCTGCATGGCATCTGTGTACGTCCTCAGGAAGGTGTCCTTGATCTACGGAGGATGAAGGAGAATGCATTTTCAGTCCACTGTAGCCTAAACTGTCTCCTACCAGTTTCTTCCCCAGCACCATCTCTTCTGAAATTTTCTCACTACATGGGGCCTAGGGAGGTTAAGCCCTGTTTTCAGAGACAACAGAGCTCAGAATATTCTCTAAAGGTTTAGCTAGCTGAGGAATTTAAAGAAAGAGTTGGTCTCAACCAGCAATTCTGAGAGCACCCGGCTGTGAGATGGCTCACTGAAGTGGCTAGGTAGCTTCTGAAAGGGCTGTAAATGTGACTGGGGCCAAACCTCAGGTGTGAATTTTGTAGTTATCTTTCTTTGAATTGATTCATGCCAAACTTCCTTCCTATAACCTTCTTCGACTTTATGCAGACAGAATGGTAACAGCCTAGCTACCAGCGGGATGGCAAGATTAAGGTTTTGGCCCCAATCTGGGCTCTAGTCTATCACACAGAAGTGGGAAACCCCATCTTTCACTGTACTCTAATTGCTGAGGCCAAAATAAAAGAGGCTAAAGGACAAGAGTTTTTCTTGTTAGTAAATTAATGAAAACCTTTCTCCTTGTCACTGAACACACTTACCCTTGGGATCATTTTTAAGTTCTGTCCATTTGAAAATCTGAGGAAAGCAAGGTATTAGGTATACTACTAGGCCATGTGGCTTATGGTGCCACTAACCCCTGACTGCTGCAATACCTCTGAATTAGGAGAGTAGTGAGTGGCAATATTTATTGGGTGGCAAGCTCAAAGCTAAATATGGTAACTCTCCCAACTAGGCATGTTCCTTACTAAATTCTGGAAGCAATGTTCATGGGATAGTTGTAAAAGATAAAGAGACGTAAGCTGTGAGACATTTATCTACAAGCCAAAGTGGCTACCATACCCAATTCTGTCACCTCATTTCACTCTTGAGTTGTCTATCAGGGTGGGGAGTTATACAAGAATAGGTCTTGTGTCACCTGAGGACATATGCTCAACAAACAAGACTGTGCTACCCTATAGGCAATCCGGGCTTTTTTGCAATGTCAGTCTAAGTAAATGGTATCAATTTAACGTACAGTTACCCTGTGAGTTTCACCACTTAACCAAAGCCAACCTTTATTTGCAGTTAGAGCAGGACTGCAATCCCTAAGGACTATGATGAAAAGGAGAAGAGGACTTCTGGTTTTTACACATGCACTCAAGCCATTTGTCAGGGCTGTGGAGGCCACAACTTCCTCCCATTTCTCTTCAGCTAATAGTGAGAATGGGCAGTCTTACTAGATGCAGCATCCATGGGAAACAGGTTCCAGAATTTAGGTTTGGCATTTGGGATGCTACCTACAGTCAAGGGCAAAATCAGGGCAATAGGGAAAGAAACAGAACATAGGCATGGCAAGCTCCCATGGACTATAGCTCAGCAGTGCGAAAGTAGAGCCTAGGAAGACATGCTGCCAGACATTCAGGAGCCTCAGCCATACTACTTTTCAGTGCATTCAATATATAGGGTGCTATGTTTTCCACTACCACACACCTATCTATTAGGGCTTTCCTGCTCTGTACATGGTATAATAGTGGATTTACAAGGCAAGACAATTAGCTCAGCTTGTCTCTAGTGTCAGAAATCTTATGAAGATATGCATGTGCTTTGTAGAAATAGCTAGTTTCAAAGGACTATTTAATCCACATTGAAAGTCAGTGCTTTAAAAAAGAGAGGAAAATCATTTTATGAAAGAACTACAGAGAAAACTCAAGTGAGGATCAATATGGAGGGGTGTAAAAGTTTGGTAGAAATTCCTGGATAGCCTGTATACACCCTTTACACATTCTTTTCATTTTCAAAATCCTCTTCACAAAGATTCTTTAACTAAATTCACCACCCTGAATATACTCACCTCATGACGAAAGACAAATCCAGAAATGCCAGCAACAAGCTCAGCCAGGAACACCAGGGACAGGAACATGGCATACTAAATAGGAAATGAACAAGGACAAAGTCACAAGGCAAGAATAAGAAGAGGGATTTGCAGGGCTGGAATGATGGCTCTGCAGTTAAGAGCACGCACGTCCTGCTCTTATAGAGGACCCACGGTCAGTTCAGAGCACCAATGTCAGGCAACCCACAAATGCCCGCTCCAAGGGCATCGAGTGCCTCCTGCCTCTATGGGCACCTGCACTCATGCATATGTATTCACACACAGACATAGAAAGGGGAGAGAATGGGGGAAGACAAACAGACAGACAGACAGCTATACAGATACACAGTTGAAATATTATTTTTAAAGAAGAGCCCCCCCCCCCTTTTTTAAGAGTGAGCATATTTCCACTACAGGTAATTTGACTAGTCCTTGTTACCACTAGAGAAAGTTCAGAAATGTAAATACCCTTGTGAAAATTTCACACATGAGTATCAAAATAGAAAACAGCCATCTTAATATGCACAAATTATTTGGGCTATGGATGTTGAGGAAACTGCAACTGACACTGTGCCCATCAGCTCAGGCCAATCAGGAAAAACATGAAAGGTCACCTACTTCAAAGGATTGTCTCTTTTCAATATGAAAAGATTTAAGCTAGAAAAACAATGCTTCATTTCTTTAATTTTTAAAAATCTTCAAACTTATCTATCTATCTATCTATCTATCTATCTATCTATCTATCTATCTATCTCAATTTTGTTACTTTGTATCCTGGCTGTAGCCCCCTACCTCATCTCCTTCCAGTCCTACCCACCCTCCCTTTTCTCCCCCTATGCCCTTTCCCTAGTTCCTTGATAGTAGAGGTTCTCCATCCCTTCTATCTGGCCCTAGCCTATCAGGTTACATCAGGCCTGGCTGTATCATCATGCTCTGTGGCCTGGTAAGGCTGCAACCCCCAGGGGGAGGTGATCAAAGAGCCAGCCACTGATTCATGTCAGAGACAGCCCCTGTTCCCATTACTAGAGAACCCACTTGGAAACTTAACAGCCTACGGGATTCCTTTGAACATGCGTTCTAGGTCCTCTCCATGCATGGTCCTTGGTAGGAATATCAGTCTCTATAGGATGCCCCTGGGCTCAGGATTTTTAGCTTTGTTGGTCTCCTTGTGGAGTTCCTATCCCCTCCAGGTTTTTCTATCTCCCTCTTCTTCCATAAGATTCCTGGCACTCTATCCAAAGTTTGGCTATGAGTCTCAGTATCCCCTTCAATACCCTGATGGGTGGAGTCTTTCAGAGGCTCCCTGTGGTAGGCTCCTGTCCTGTTTCCTGTCTTCTCCTACTTCTCATGTCTATCCTGTTTGTCCTTCTGAATGAGGTTTCAGCCTCTTCCCTAGGGTCTTCCTTGTTGATTAGCTTCTTTAGGAATAAAGATTTTAGTAGGTGTATCCTTTATTATATGTCTAATATCGACTTATAAGTTAGTATATACCATGTGTGTCTTTCTGCTTCTGGGTTACCTTACTCAGGATGATCTTCTCTAGTTCCCACCATTTGCCTGCAAATTTCATGATTTCCTTGTTTTTAATTGTTTAGTAGTATTCTATTGTGTAAATGTACCACAATTTCTGTATCCATTCTTTAGTTGAGGGTCCTCTCGGTTGTTTCTAGATTCTGGCTATTTTGAATAATGCTGCTAAAACATAGCTGAGCAAATGTCCTTGTATGGTTGAGTGTCTTTCCGATATATGTTCAGGAGTGGTATAGCTGGATCTTGAGGTAGCACTATTCGTAAGTTTCTGAGAAAGTGCCAGATTGATTTCCAAAGTGGTTGTACAAGTTTACATTCCCACCAACAATGGAGGAGGGTTCTCCTTTCTCCATAATCTTTCCAGCATGTGCCATCCCTTGAGTTTTTGATCTTAGCCATTCTGATGCTTGTGATGTGGAATCTCAGGGTCTTTTTGATTTGCATTTCTCTGATGACTAAGGATGCTGAACATTTTTTAAGTGTTTCTCTGACATTCTATATTAGACTGTTGAGAATTCTGTTTAGCTCTGTACCCTATTTTTAAATTGGGTTACTTGGTTTGCTGGTGAAGATCTTTACTCAGTCTGTAGTCTGCTGTTTAGGTCTGTTGACAGTGTCCTTTGTTTTACAAAAGGTTCTTAGTTTCATCAGGTCCCATTTACTGATTGTTGATGTTAGAGCCTGAGCTGTTGGTGTTCTGGTCAGGAAGTTGTCTCCTGTGCCAATGAGTTCGAGGCTCTTCCCCACTTTTTCTTCTAACCGATTTAGTGTGTCTGGTTTTATGTTGAGGTTTTTGACCCACATGGAGTTTAATTTTGTACAGGTTGATACATATTGGTCTATATGCATTTTTCTACAGGTGGACATCCAGTTACACCAGCACCAATTGTTGATGCTATCTTTTATTTTTTCAATTGTATGGTTTTGGCTTCTTTGTCAAAATGTTCAACATCCTTAGTCATCAGGGAAATGCAAATGAAAACGACACTGAGATTCCATCTTACACTGATCAGAATGGATAAGATCAAAATATCAAGTGACAACACATGCTGGAGAGGATGTGGAGAAAGGGAAACCCTCCTCCATTGCTGGTTGGAGTGCAAACTTATATAACTACTTTGGAAATCAATGTGGTGATTTCTAAGAATAGCAGTACCTCAAGATGCAGCGGTATACCACTCCTGGGCATATACCCAAAAGATGCCCCACCATTCAAAAAGGATATTTGCTCAACTATGTTTATAACAGCTTTATCTGTAATAGTGAGAATCTGGAAACAACCTAGATGTCCCTCAACGGAGGAATGAATACAGAAATCATGGTACATTTACACAATGAAATACTACTCAGTTATTAAAAACAAGGAAATCATGAAATTTGCAGGCAAATGGATGGAACTAGAAAAGATCATCTTGAGTGAGGTAACACAGAAGCAGAAAGACAGACATGTATACACTCACTTATAAGTGGATATTAGCTCTATAAACATAATAAAATCTACAGATCCAAAGAAGCTAAACTACAAGGAGATCCCTAGGGAGGATGCTTAAATCTCATTCAGAATGGCAAACAGGATAGATACTAGAAGTGGTAGAAGAGAGGGAACAGGACAGTAGCCTACTACAGAGGGTCCTCTGAAAGGCTCCATCCAATAGGGGATTGAAACACATGCTGCCAAACTTTGGGCAGAGTGCAGGTAGTCTTATGAAAAAAGAGGGGAGGGAGAATAGAAGGCCCCAGAGGGAACAGGAGCTCCACAAGGACAACAGAGCCAATAAATCTGGACCCAGGCGGGGTAGGGGTGCTGAAGGGACTGATATACCAACCATGCATGAAGAGGACCTAAACCCCCTGCTCTGATGTAGCTGATGCAGCTCAGTCTCCATGTGGATCTCTGAGTGAGGGGAGCAGGGGCTGCCTCTGTCATGAACTTGATTGCCTGCTCTTTGACCACTTGCCCCTGGTGATGTAGCCTTGCCAGGCCACAGAGGAAGAAGATTCAGGCAGTTCTGATGAGTCTTGATAAGCTATGGGCATATGGGAGAGGAGAACGCCCCCTTTCAGTGGACTAGGGGAAAGTGATGGGGGAAAGAGGGAAGAAGGCTGGGACTGGGAGGAGTTGAGGGAAGGGGCTTCAATTGGTACATATAATGAATAAATTGTAAAAAAAAAAGAAAGAAAGAAAGAAAAAAGGAAAAATATTGTATAACACACTTTTTTTTTTTAATCTGCTCAAGAGGTCTCACAGGCCATGGTTCTACCCTGGGTCTGGGAGGCGTTTCAATCAACTTCTTAATAGTAAGCTAGCTCCTGCAATCTCAATCTATGCAGATTAGTTTCCTTTCTTTTTCACCCTTTTTTCAGTGCTGGGCATGGAACCTAATGCCTTTAGTGCTATACCACTAAGCTGGCACCTGCCCTGCCTTTTCTATTTTGTAACTGTTCCAATTATTCAAAAGCCTTCTTTGCCAATCGCCACAGGCCCACCTATTTCCAATTTCTACTTGCCAGGATAGGTTCCGCTTTCAGAAAGTATAAGAGTCCAACCACATTTTTATATACATTAGCCCTTTGTATGAGCATGATCAGGATGCAGAGCTGGGCTGCTGCTTTGCATTTGGGCATTCTCCATTTTCTTAGCCACATCTCACAGTAAATGACTACAAACCACTTATTTGGAAGTGCACCCTCTCAAATGTTGTCAAAGGCCAGAATGTGTATAGCGGGATATGCCTCTTCACTATGCTGGTTATCTCTGAACATGGTACCTTTCAGTAGGTTCCTATGGGGATGTTTGCCTCTGGGCTGGGCACTGAGTAGAATTTATAACGTCTAAAAAAGCAAGTACATGATACTGCCAACAATAAACCCAAGTGTTTTTCATTTGATTCTACCTGCGCTTCTCAATTTGAATCTCAATCTTTCTCTCTATCTCTCTCTGCATCTCTGTCTTACTCTGTATGCATATGTGCAAATATCGGAATTCAAGGGTGTTACATAGCACTTATGAAGGTTTTTGCCATTTTTCTGGCTTTGATAAAAGGAAAGATGACTTAATTCCTTACCAACAAGTCAAGTATCTTATAACCTGCTTCTTTTCATCGCAAAATGAAATACAGCAGTTATAAATGTTTGCAATGACCCTAAATGATGATATGGATGAAGTATATAATGCCACATAACTGACCTATAATGTGTACATATGACATAAGTATATACATTTGCATAGAATCATAAATAACTCCTCTTAGTGACATACTAACTCCTCTTAGCTTCCTATCATAAGGAAGCACTGGGCTAAAATAACCATTTTTCTAAACATTAATGAAATTCTGTACACATGCACAACCACTAAAATATTAAGCATGAAGTTATGATACTCAATGTACATAATTTCTCTCTATACTTCATGGAAAATATGATCAGAAGCATGCACTACTCTGTGGAGAGTCTCATACCAAGCCTTCAATCCACCAGAAAGTTCTGTGGGAAGATAACCATCAGAAGGCAAGTGAGGAAAATGACATTTATATTTCTGTGGTCAGACATCCTCTTTGGGCCTCCATATAGGATAAATTGTTACTGGCAATGGTTTTTCAGTTATTAAGGCTAAAGCTAAAGGAGGAACATAAGAGTCTAATGATGGTTAAAACCACATTAAGAGCCTTTTGGCAGCCTGCAACCTTTAGGGAGGCATCATTGCTCTGTCTAGTCTACACTACTAGAGTACACGCCTCTGTAGTCATCCTGAAAACCCATTACATGAGCCCTGTGAGCGAGAGGATCTGGCTTAGTTCAAGTCCCACAACACAAGGCCAGAGAGTACGAGTGGAAAGCAAAGAATGTGCACACATCCTTGCATGGCAAGTGGCAAGGCTCAAGGACTGCTCCATAGGGATCCTGGACATGGAAGGCTGCTCATGTTCAGGATGATCCATTGCTCACCAAAGCTGCATATCACACCACACAGGGATTTCTAAGCCAGTTTAAGCCTGGCACAGGGCATCTTGCCAAGAAGACATTAATCGTTCATTGGAATCAATGGCCAATGCTTTGCCAATCTACCTCTGGAAGCTGGGACTGTGTTTACTGTGCAGGCTGTGTCTGGGGTGATTTTTCCCACTGGGAGAATTGAAGGATGGATTAGTTAAGAGTCTCGTGTAAAATTAAAATCAATGAATATTAAAGTCCCTTTTGTGGCTTCAAGAAGGGCTACTTAACCATCACATGAATTTATTGTTTTACAAAAATAATTTGCAAAAGCACATTATGCTGACATATACTTACCAGTTTCAGCATCCATGGACTACCACGGCATGTAGCAAAGCATCCGAAGAGGCCAAAAACAACGATAGTGGTACCAGTTCCAATGAGCACATAGGGAGCATTTGTGGAGTTCTCAGCAATAAGGGAGATATAGGTGCCCAAAGTAAGCTTTCCCCAGACTCCAACAGCCAGCAGGATCACCCCAGTGATCTGCAAAAGGGAGAGAGGAGAGCATAAAACTATTGCTGAAGGACGTGAGAATGGACATCGTCTTGATTACTCCTCTATTGCTGTGAAGAGAGATCATGACCAAGGCAACTTATAGAAGAAAGAGTTTATTAGGGTCTTATAGTTCCAAAGAGTACATAACCATCATGGCAGGAAGCATGGAAGTAGGCAGGGAGGCGTGATGCTGTAGCAGTAGCTGAGAGCTTACATCCTTATCCACAAGTACAGGCAAAGAGGGAGAATTAACTGGGAATGGCATGGGATTTTGAAACCTCAAACCCTGCCCCCAATGACACACTTCCTCTAATAAGGTTACACCTCCTAACTCTTCCCAAACAGTTTCACCAACAGAGGGAGTACAGATATAGCATTCAAATACATGAGCCTGTTGGGGGGACATTCTCATTCAAACCACCATAGGCATAGAACAATGTGGCCATACTTCAAGAATCAAGCTTCCACCAGCAAGGTGTTCTTCCTGAAGTATTTCCTGATTAGCAAGAAATGTCAGAGACCATAAGCAAAAACTGTTAGAGTAAAGGCGCTTTGAAGGTATGCAATTAGATCTGCTCCTTATATCCTATATATAGTTTTTGTATTAGTTAGAAATCAAGTCAGTAAAGGACATTTTTAAAAGCTGCTTAAAGAACACCATAAAACACTTCTGAGAGTGTGTGTCTTTCTGACACTGACCCCTGAAAGAATGTTAGCTCCTTTCTTCAAAGGAATGTGAGGGTAGAGTGGGTTTTATAGCTATCCTATACAACATTTTAAGAACAAGGATATTATTCTTGTGATTATCATCAAAATCTCTATAAAGAGAATATTCCAGACAGTTTTTAATCCCCACTGGTATGTTGTTTTACAATAATTTCTTCATTATTAAGCAATAGAAGAGTCTGAATATCTCTTGGTATTGTTGATAATGCTGTTTGTCAAATATCATCAACCATTCCAATTGAAATCTTTATAACATGTCTAAAGTCTAGCCCTGTGCATTTATTAACCCCTTACTTAAGGGAGTAGGCTTTGTGTTAAGCCTTACGTTCCATTCCATGAAGGTCTCACGCCTCAGAAATTGTGATTGGTGAAGCCATGGCTTGCTTTGTGTCCCCACCATCCCACAGTTACTATATCTTCTTATTCTCTTAGAGCTTGGTGACACTTTCAAAAGTGGCCATTTTCAAACTACCACTTTTGGAACAAAGGCTTAAGGGCACCCCCAGTTTCATCCCACCTCTACGGCTCAATGTTGCACAGTAAAGATCTCATATTTCTGCTCAGTCTACCCAAATGAAGAGGCAAGATGAGACACTAGAGAAAAATAGCACCACATGCATGTACACATATGTACACACACACACACACACACACACACACTAAATTACTTTTTTGAAAGAAGAAAAGGCATAAGCATGAGGTAGTCTTAACACTATATGCTGCATAATTAGGCTTTGCTTTTACTTTGGTAAAATGCATGTGAGATTTGTTAAGGTCACTTGCCTGTGTTGCCCCAATAGCTTACTTTGTAGAACTATCATTGTGCATACAGAATTAAATGTTATATGAGAAAAGAGTGAAGATAAGATACATATTTGAGGAGGAAGCATTTGATGCTAATTTTGAAGAGAACGGGGCCCAGTTGAGGCTGACCTCCAATGAGAATGGCGTCAGTGAATTAAAACCAATAATGCAGATGTTGTCAAGAGTTTTACATCCTCTGCTGACACCTGGTGGCCACTTTTTAAAAAATGCACCCTCTCTGATCTGTTTCTTTTTTTTTTTTTCATTTTAAAAATTATATTAATAGCACTTTATTTACTTTGTGTCCCCCCTGTAGCTCCCTCCCTCCTCCCTTCCCAATTCCACCCTCCCTTACCCTTCTCCACGCATGCCCCTCCCCCAGTCCACTGATAGGGGAGGTCTTCCTCTCCTTCCTTCTGATCCTAGTATATCAGGTCTCATCAGGACTGGCTACATTGTCCTCCTCTGTGGCCTGGTAAGGCTGTTCCCTCCTCAGGTGGAGGTGATCAAAGAGCAGACCAATCAGTTTATGGCAGAGACAGTCCCTCTTCCCATTACTATGGAACCCACTTGGACACTGAACTGTCATGGGCTACATCTGTGTAGGGGTTCTAGGTTAGCTCCATGAATAGTCCTTGGTTGGAGTAGCAGTCTCAGAAAAGACCCCTGTGCCCAGATCTTTTAATTCTGTTACTCTCCCTGTGTAGCTCCTGTCCTCTCCAAGTCTTACTATTTCCTACTTCTTTGATAAGATTCCCTGCACTCTGCCCAAAGGTTGGCCATAAGTCTCAGCATCAGCATCTGCTTTGATACCCTGCAGGGTAGGGCTTTTCAGAAGCCCTCTGTGGTATGCTCCTATTCTGTTCCCTGTTTTCTCCTTCTTCTGTTGTCCATCCTCTTTGCCTTTCTGAATGGGGATTGAACATTTTAGCAAGAGTCCTCCTTCTTGATTAGTTTCTTTAGGTGTACAGATTTTAGTAGGTTTATCCTATATTGTTATGTCTAATATCCACTTATGAGTGAGTATATACCCTGTGTGTCTTTCATCTAGGGGCAAGCAGCCCTGGACACCGTAGCATAATTGAACCTAATCAGTTTCTTTAGCTATACTCTGCAAGAAAGAAATCTAAAACGGGTTGTTTTCAGCTTCTGGCTATTACAAATAAAGCTGCTACAAACATGGTTGAGCAAATGTCCTTGTTGTATACTTGAGCTTTGTAGTGTAGAATCAACTCTTGTGTTACCAGCATAAAAGCAGATTGTATTGGTAAAATAAGATACTCATCACCAACCTTCCAATCTCAAGTTAGCTACAAAGAATTCCATAGTGACTGAATTCTAAGATGTTCAACAGTAAGAGCAAGGCCTAGGTATGGTACATATGACAGTTGACATGTGTGGTGGATGGCTGCATTGGTAGCCACAGGCAACACACACACACACACACACACACACACACACACACACACACACACACACACACA